CACACACACACACCCTGCCCCCTGCTGGACTTTCAACTAGTGTTTTTTGACACAGAAAAAAAGTTAATTACGATAATTGGGGAAATTTATGACAAACCACAAGCAAAGGTTACCTTCAACAGTTTGTCATGGTGTCTCTCTGTTCCCAGTTTCAAGACCGTCCCACCAAACAAGTTGAACTGGACTGTCATCTTTGTGGTCATCGCGGCATCCACTACAGCGGCCAGTTCATGAGCAGCGAAGATCCACAGTGGGTTGTTCTTGAAGTCCAACACTGAAATAAACCCTTGATCGCAAAGTTTCTTTAGTCTCTTCAGTGCCAAGTCTCTCTCTTCATCAACTGAGATGTTGTACTTTGGTGTCATCAAGGGATCCTCTGAGAAAATTTTCCGAAATTTCGCTCTCTTTTCGTGATTGTCGTGATCTAGCAAGTGCGTCATTTGGGCCACATCGAAGGAAGGTTTTCCCCACTCATCTCTCAGTTTCTGGGGATGTAACTGCGATAAGACTGCGCATCTTGAAAAATCACGAAAGCTCAAGTGCTTCTGTGACGGATTCCTCAAAATCCCACAGCTCGACCGTATTCCCTGAGAGAGAAAAGCTTTCTGAGCGTAACCTTTAGAAAAAGCTCGCTGAAATCCCCTTACTGCGTGAACACTTGAGGAAAGCATCGTTGAAACAGACAAAATGTGAGATTTATACTACCACAGTTACAATCCCACTAGCGTCCATAGTCCAGTCGACAGTCCAGTCAACTTTACCGCAGGCACTAGGTTTTGTCAGCGGTTATTGAAACGCAATGGGCCTTCTTGTGCCCAGTCTTCTCGCGCCGCAAAAATTCGTGTTCTGCCTGCTGACATGCCAGATAGATATCACGGTTACTCCCCCCGGTTATAAGCCCCTCTTGTCCATGTGATGAAATGAACATGTCCATAAAAATTCTATTCACTTCAAATAGAATAGCCAAACAAGTATATTAAACCACTATCAGTCATTTCTTTTCAGTATTGTCTAAACTGTTTTTCTTTACTCTCCCAATATGTAAAGCTACCTGTTCCGAAGTTGAACGATCCCAGGGTTTATAGCAAAACATAGGAATGCTACAGACACTGGCGCTACTGGTTTTCAGGTTGTGTTTAAACCGCAAAATGCGAGCAAGGTTTATAAACTAGATATTTGCGAGGTTTAGGGTATGTTCCTTTGAGGTGATCTGGATCAGGATCACTCAGATCATGATGCATCAAAGGAATCGATGAATCCACTCTGATCATGGATTCATCGTTTTCTTTGATGCACCATGATCTGAGTGATCTTGGATCACTAGTCCTGATCCAGATCCAGATCACCCCAAAGGAACACACCCTTAGAAATGCTAAGCTAAATCCTAGTAGGCGTATTTTTTTACTGTCTGTACTTTCGGAGCGGAGAGTTTATTTCTTAAAAAAAAAAAAGAACAAATGGCAAGAATCTCAAAAAAAAAAGGCAAAAAAAGAATAAAAAGCAAGAAGTATTTTTAACATTAGTTGCAGTTCACAGATTAGAAGAGCACATTCCTTGTTGATAAAGCGCATTTAACCAACATGAACCAAACTTAAGGATACGCTTTCAGACAAGAAAAAATTCAAGAAATTCGTTTAAAACGTTCGTTTATTTTAGGTCTTTAGAGCGATCAACTGCAAATTTCTCCTCACAATACCAATAAATAATAGCATGTATAGGTCATGATGCTAGAAACGGTTCAACTTAATAAGTGTTCATCACAGAGTGATAAAATAACATCCAATTCTTAGAATCTTAAATTAAATAAATGCACCATATATTCAACCATGATTGTATTATTTTACATTTAATGGATTACTTGAATCAACGTGACGTGAACATCCACTCAGGAGGTTAAACTAACATTCAACGCAAAAGGGTCCGCACTGATGACGAAGCTCGATAAAGATCAGTGTAGAATCTGATTGGTTGTTACTTGCGTGCCAAAATTCAAAATCGAGGAACAACCAATCGGAGATCTCTGTAGTGTTATGTCATCAGTATGGAATTGTTTGAGTCCAGTCCCTGAGAGGTCTGTTTTTCTTTTGATACTGTTCTTTCCGTTCTCTATAATAAACAAAGTTGAAACCACTCCTAATAAAGGTGTGAAGGTTGCACAGTGTTCAGTTTATCCTTAGGCTTCAGAATATTTTGTACTTTTTTTTAAGTATTCCTGGTGCACATCATCGCTTGAAACGTTAGCATTTATTGTCAAATGCAAATGTTATTCCAAGTTTGTTTATTTGATTGTTTGTTTGTTTATGTATGTAATATGTGTTGATGGACAGAAATCATATTCTGATCAGTGATGGGTTCTGATTGACCTTACTCTGCAAATGGGAAAACATTATTTTTGAGAGAAGAAGTACAGCAATGCAAACACTTAAGAAAATAGTTCAAGAAATAGTTCAAAAATTAGAATGTCCCAAAACCTGTACCCACAAACGAAGCAATGACAGAGACAATCCCAAAATTGTCAAAATGGTCTTCTATAAGTTCTTGCGTCCATTCTTCAGTGGACTCTCAATTTCTGAAACCTTGATTCTCAAACTCCTGATAACTTTAACTTGACCAATAATTCGTATCCCTTGGATTTGTTTCACTATAATTCAGACTTCTGTTTTCATGATTTCCTGAATTTTCGTGAACCAATTTTCACTTCCCTCGGGGGTTTGAAAAATCTTGATTCCACTACTATGAAAATGAGATTTACAGGTCTTTACCCTGATTAACACCAACCATTCCTTTTTAAGATCTCATAATTAAAGTTCAATGGCAGTTTAACTGTCAATTAGCAGGCACTGATCAAAACTTCAAACCCTCAACTTCTCCTTTGTTATCAACTGTGTTAAACTTGACCCAGTCTCTTGCAATTGGGGCATTTAACATCCCATCAGTAATACCAAAAGCATCAGAAAGGGCAAGAGCCTGTGGTGCCACATCTCGACACAGGTCAGCAGTCACCTTTCCCACTTTTGCACCAGTGCCTGTGGACATCAGCCCTGAGGTGGTGAAGTAGCCAAGATCCTTTTTAACGACTGTCATCTGATAGAGATGATGAAGTTTCTTCAGAACTGGCTGTAGACTGCCATCAGCTTTATCAAGGGCTTTACCAAAGGATTCACTGATAAGCCGCTCACCATATGCATGAGCAGCTGCCTGGACAAGATCCTGCTCCTGGTACATCCAGGTGTCAAACCTTCCCTCCTTCCCGGCTTTCATCATTTTCATCCCCAGTGCCATAAACAGGTCTTTCTCACGTGACTCCAATAGGGCGTGCAGGTACTTCCGGTCGTTCAGGTCTGCCCAGCTGAACATGCGATACACAAAACTTGGGACATAACTTGCTGCAACTTGAAGCATTGATGGCTTGAGTGCCATCAGTCTTTCCGTAGCGACCTTCTGCATAAGAACTGAGTTGTCACCTTCAGCTGTCATCGAGGAATGTGAACCAGCAATGCCACTACCAAACTTGTTGCATGACAGATAACCTTGCCCGCCACACCTCTCGCGACAAATGGCAGCTGTTTCACCCACATGCCAGCCAGAAATGGCCTTGATAACACAACACATGGTCACCACGTCTGCATGCTCAGATCCATCTGCTGCCTGTAAAGCAATATTTATTTTAAAACAGTTGTCCGCTTTCAAACAAAAATTCCTCTCTACATGTTGCAATTTCAGGTATGTTGTTAGATCAAAGCTTCAAGCTTACACAGCAAGAGAGAGAGGTCTGCATACAACAGAATGACAGAAGACTAATGACATATAACGACATAGAAACATGTGACTTCGTACATTTTCCTCCTCTTTAGACACACAGATGGAAACAAATGAGGGACATTTAGCCACGCTAAATTTAATAGAAGAATTGTCTAGTCTCAATGTAATGTTGAATTATCAAAAAAAAAAAAAAAAAATTAATGGACCATTTTGTAATCCCTTTATTGGACTGGAACTAGCTTGGAACTGAAGCAAATGCAGGGAATGTTGTTAATAATAGAAAATAAGGAAGTCCTTTGAATATTAAACAGTTATTATTATTATAATCCCTTTGTAATGAATTTTCCTTGCGTGAGCCTACACTGCAAGCTACATGTAATTTCAGTCCAATGCTGAGAATACGAATATGGCCTCTTAAATAACTGTATACTGACTAACAGTTATAACCCATTCAGTCCACCAGTCGTGTGACAGCAGCCTCATCTATGGCAGTGCCCCTGTTTACAATGCTTCAATAATTTATGTGTAACCACAAGCAAAATCCACATATTTACATGTACCTGAAAAGCCCAGCAATCTTTGACATACTGCAGTGCAAAGTCAATGGCATAAGTGGCTGCTAGCAGTGGCATCAGAGCATTTTGTTGGAGCTGGTACTTGAGAATGGGAGTATCAGATTTCCCATCAGGTCCTACAGTCAAACGAGTAGCAGAGTAGCGAAGGGCAATAGCAAGACATTCTTTAGCTGCACCTGTTGATAAATAAGAAAGCACCTATACTTTCCACACTTTTCTCTGGTTTCAGTAGCATAAAGTATCTAGAAGTATTTCTACTCCCCCCTGGATAAGATGCTAGTCCACCACAAGCTTACTCACAGCACTTAATTTAACAGCACCAATTTGTAGACCTGGGTGGAGAGAACCACTGCGATAATAAAGTGTCTGTTCACAAGGACACTACACAATGTTCCAGGACTACTCAGTCCTGAGTCAAGAGCACTAACCATGAGGCCACCGTGCCTCCACTCAGTAAAAAAAAAAAAAACACAATAATATGGTATTTACCTTGGGACATGCTTGCTATACACAGACGGCCAGCGAGAAGTTGATCAGCCACTGTGAGGAAACGCTTCCTAATGCTACCCTCGACATTTGTACTGTAGGTTCCATCTTCAGCAACATCAGAATACAGGTTGAGCAGGTTTTCTCTAGGCACACGCACATTGTCAAAGAAAAACTTGGCATTGTCGACTCCATTCAGGCCCATTTTGTGTCCCATGTCATGAATCTGGACCCCTGGCATCACATCAAGGTTCTTGTCTCGAATTGGAACCAATACACCATGGATACCTGGAAAGAAAACAATCTTTCAATTTATATGTGACATCAGTGAAATTGATGTCACATATAAATTGTAGGGGAGGAGAGGAGAGGCCTAGAGCCAAGGGGTGGCACTCCCTTATTTAAGCTGCACACCTAAGGGTGTGGTTTTCAGGACTCAAAAAAAACTTGAATTCTGGCTTGCCCTTCAGAGAAGCATCTCTCAAATTTTGTTTTAGTTTATTTTTGTTTGACTGAGTTAGCAGACAACTTGCCTGGACTCCTGCCCGTTGGGCACATGAGAATGAAAAGTTACTTGCCCAGCAAGAAAATCTACAGTACTTTGTCCCAGATGACCAGATGGCAGTTTTTTCAAGCCCTGGGTTTGAACCATTTTTGTCCAAACTATGGTATTGATTTGATTATTTACTTTTGAAATAGGATATGGTACATGCAGTCTGGTCTGGAAAGGTTATAAAAAATTTCACCCTTCTCCCCCCCCCCTCCTAATACCACCACCACCACTGCCAACTTAATTATTAAACACAAGGTGAAATGAAGTTGACTGTACCTTGATTAACACCATCAATGTAAAGCTGAGAAAATACAATGATGTGGTGAGCATGACAAGCACCATTTGTGATCCAATATTTCTGTGCCATGGGGTTTGGAGTATTGATGATAAATTCCTTGGTTTCCTTGTCATACGTCGCAGTTGTTTCCATCTGCACCGCATTGTTACCATAGCCTAGTTCTGTCAGACCAAAGCATCCCACATCCTCCAGCGAGTCAATACCCTAGGTGTGATTGACAAAGATGCTTTTAAGTCAAATTCTACAAACCTCCATGAAGCACATGCACATAGCAAAACTATTACACTATGTAACATTCTACATTGTATCAGCCTTCCCTCACTATGTTCCCTATAAGGAGACAAATCACACAACTAAATATACCCTCATTATCTACTACAGTGAATCCGACTATCAAGCACATACACTTAGACATACAAACAGGATGGCTTACATTACTTTAATTGATGCCACACCATTACTTTGCAATACTTCATTGTAGATAACTTTAAATGATGTATATAACAAAATTTTGGGAACTTTTTAAGAAATAACTGATGCAACTTTTAAATACTTAAACATATTTTCATAGGTTTGCAATATATTATTATGAAACTTCACACATTCGGCATGATAAATTGATCTACATGTAAGGAGGTATTTTTTTTTTGGTTTATATAAAAAATATGAAGAATTGACATCGTGAAAAAGTTCAATTCCAAGAATGTTTACAATATTCAGTGATAACTTTGTCGTTGTTAGTTTAGTCTTAAATGAAAAAGAAATGGAAATACTTGGGCATGGAAATTATTGGGTACAATAAACTCCAATATCGCAATATTTTGACTGATAGTTTTAGAACTAACTTGTATAAAAGGTTACCTGTAGTAGCTTGTTATGGTGTCTCTCTGTTCCCAGTTTCAAGACAGTGCCACCAAACAAGTTGAACTGGACTGTCATCTTTGTGGCCATGGCAGCATCTACCATAGCTGCCAGCTCATGAGCAGCGAAAATCCACAGTGGATTATTCTTGAAGTCCAACACCGAAATAAAGCCTTGGTCGCAAAGTGTCTTTAATCTCTTCAGTGCCAAGTCTCTCTCTTCATCAATAGAGATGTTGTACTTTGGGGTCATGAGGGGATCCTCTGTTAAGATTTTTCGAAACTTCGCTCTCTTCTCGTGGTTGTCATGATCTAGCAAGTGCGTCATCTGCGCCACATCGAAGGATGGACTTCCCCATTCTTCTCGCAGTCTCTGTGGATCTAACCGGGCCGCAGAACACGAAAAGGGTCGAGCACTCTTTAAACCCTCGTGGCTTGACCGAATGCTCTTGGCTTGGAAACCCTTTCCAACGGCAATTTTAGAAAACGATTGTGGCAATCTCCTCACTACGTGAATTCCTACAGAAATCATGTTCAAAACGGATAGAAAGAAAGCTTTTAGAAAGGCAAGGAGTCCATAGTCCACTCGACGATTCCCTCCGTCATTGCAGTCCACAGTTTTTGTCAGCGGATTTCGTGCTTCGTCACCAGTCTCTTTACCGTCGTCAACATCTGCGAAGCAGAAAGAGGACCAAAGAACGTTAAGTATTTCGGGGGGCTTTAGTGAAAAGGAGTGCGAGATTCATTGGTATAACCGCTAAAGGGCTAATCCTTCCACTTTTTAGCTCAGTAGATATTTTCTCCACACGAGATGAAAACGAAGTCACGAAATGCGTGTTTCTGACTTTGTACCAGTCCACGTTTTTTTCCTCCAAATTTGTTTGTAATGTAAATTTTGTGTTACAAGTTGCGTCGAGGTAATTTGATCAAACTTATTTGCATATCAAGCTTGATAATTTTAGTGAATGCAGTGTTTACATCTAGCGCTGGTGTGATTAATGGAAGACTCTGGTAGTGGATGACTTGAAGAGTTGATATGAGTACTTTAAAAGACTAGAGAATTGATGTCTCTTTAAAATCAGATGTCAGTTTAACAAATTGACGTCAGTTGTTCATGCGTCTGTCCTGTTACTGATATTGTTATGTTACTGAAATTTTGTCATAACATTGTCAAGGTAGCTGTGGATCAACAGGGCGACAGTTTTTCATGCGTCTGTCCTGTTATTGATGATGAATTTTGCCATGAAAGTAGCTGTGGATCCACAAGGCTATAGCCGAGTGGATCCACAGACTACTTTGACAATGTTGTGACAAAATTCATCATCAATAACATCATCAATAATGCGTCTGTCCTGTTATTGATGATGAACTTTGTCATAACATTGTCAAAGTAGCTGTTGATCCACAAGGCGATAGCTGAGTGGATCCGCAGACTACTTTGACAATGTTATGATGGCAAAATTCCCTGGGGGGGGGGACTCCCATATGGAGTGGACGGGGATGCTCGTCGGAAATTTTGAATTTAACCCCTAAAAGAGACCAATCTGGGCGTGGCCGAAGCTTAT